TGTTTTGCTATGCATGGCGGTGTGTAGGAGCCATGCCCATCTTTGTCTTCTACCGATTTCCTGTCGAAGGCAGCAGGTTGATCTGCCCTACTGCAAGTCCTAATCCAAACTCCGAGCCTGAAGCCCAAAGATCTAAAACCCCCGGAGCCCCGAACCTTCAACCTCTTGCTCTTACAATTGCAAAAACGTAAAAGATGCTGACATCCTAGACCCCCAGAGCCTTAAAGCCATAGAAACCAAAACGTAATGAAGTCACCAAAGTCCCACAGTGTCTAACACACTGAACCATATAGGCCTTTGCATGTGCAGAAAGGAGCCTAGAACGCCGCTCAGGTGTATAATACCCAGACCTCTTCGAGCATCACGCCAGATGTCATGTGCTACGTTTCTGCGATCGCTTCCTGCGAGAAGGGTGCCTTGCTGCAGAGTCGTTCTTACGGAGGAGCTGAGTTTCGTAAACCCTAGATTGCCCTAGATCCTATAGTTTGGGGCCTGCAGCGGGTGTCGAGTCTGCAATGTCCATAGTGTTCATGGGCTTTAGGGTTGAGGGCCTCGGGAGCCTTCGGGAGGCCTTCGAGGTCAAACACGGAGGAAGAGTTGCCTTTTCGTGAGTCATAGCTCTGTACGCATGCCGCCTACGTGCACGTTTATGCAGGTCTTGCTAACTGACGCCCATCCGAAATTCCAAGGTGCCCTCTGGCAGGAAGCTGTGCGCATTTTTGAGCAGCAGCGGCGTGCTGGACCCCCCAATGCAATCAGTCACAACGCCACCATCAGTGCATGTGGTAAGGCGTCCGAGTGGCAGGCAGCCGTGCTGAGAAAGACCTTAAGACCTTTTGACAATTTATATGAGGGGTACCTCCTTTTCACGAGGATCGTATTGTAGCGTCTCCCTCATTTACTGAAACTGTCAAATTGCCGTGCGTGCTGTAGAAGTTCTGACGGCCAAGTACAGGCGAGGCTAGCGCATGCTACATGACAGGTCTGCAGAGAGCCTTTCATGAAGCCCTGAGAACCGGGGAGGCTTGTTCGGAAAATCGGAAGGGCAGCATAGAGGGTTCGGAGTAGACACCCTACGCACTGAACCTGAAAGGCGACATGAAGACAACACAATTATCTATCGTGCTCACCCTACAAACCCTACTCAAACCTGAAGCGTTCTCATGTAAAGCAGACCTTCAGCCGCTACGGGAAGGTGTAAGCTCAGTGCAAGCTCGGCACCCTTATCTTGACAAACCACTCCTACACTGCACCACAGCCCCAAAGTCGAAGTCCGAAACCATCCTACCCCAGCGCGCACCCTGCAGATGGCTTTGCAGCTCTTTGCCGCCATGGCGACCGCATCGCTGCAGAGGGATCTCGCCGCTCTGCTTTCAGGTTTAAGTGTTGAGGTCGTCAAGTCTGAAGGACCTAGGATTTGAGGCTGCGTGTTTAAACGGTTTCAGCTTGATCAGGGATGTTGTAGGGCCGCATTTACGGTGCCCCGAAAAAAGCATGGCGACGTTGCCTGTGCAACATGCAGAACATTGGCGCCCGACGAATATGTAAACGACTGAATTTTGCAGAGCGCCCTGGGTGTAACTACTGTAGAGGAAGATGTCGGAGTGCGAGTGGCGCAGTATCTCCTTAATGGCATGCGCAAGCATCGCTAGCTCTCAGTTCGTGCTTATGCTTTTGCCAGTTTGCGCATTCTCAACTCACCTCGGCGCTCGGACGTAGGCCGGGCGGCCTTGCCAGGTTTCCAGGTTCCGCGCATGATGCGATTCTTGTTCGCTCACGGTCAGTGGTGTGTGACTCCACAATGGTGTTGTTGTTGTTGCTGATGATGATGACGACGATGATGATGGTGATGACGCTCCAGCGTCATGTGTGACCAAAAACACCCTCCCACAGACAATCTTCGAAGCAGCTTTAACTTAAAAGGGGTCTTGGACGCGACAGAGGTTAGCTTCAGCGCAGCGACCACCGCCTGCCAAAACAGCTCCCAGTGGCAGCTCGCTGGGGCTCTTTTCCAGGCCATGGATAGTTTGGAGCCGGGATCTGGGACTTGTAACTTAGCGAGTCATGTCAGGGACCTGAATCTGGAAGCTCCATATATACTCCTCCAAGCGACCCCCAAAAACCCACACTTGCCTGGTTCTGCCTTTCGTCGGCCGTAAGCTTTCCGGCCCTAAGACTGCCCTACGGCACAGTTCCCCCCCGAACTGAACCGAAGCGGGCGACCGCTGTGCGTGTTACGTCTGACCACTCTGTGGATTGGGTCAAGAACCTGAACCCAGCAGGGAGGCAGAGCCAACTGTCTGACGGGTCACCCCGCCGCCACGCCGCAAGTGTTGCGAACACGATCTGACTGTCACGGCCGCCCACACACAAGTGGCAGCAATGTAAGTAGAAATCCTCGTGACAAGAATCACAATGACACTGCCTGCAAGTATAGCCCAGCTGTAACAGTGACAGAGTGACATGCAGTCAAGCTTCCTTGCATCGTCAGAAACCGACTCCAAAGCCGGAAACCTCCAAACCATGCCCACCGCAACGGCTCCGGAACACCTCCCCTGCCACCCTGGAGGCCATGGAAGAGTCGCAGATTTGTCCCGACACGATCAGCTGCAGCGCCTATTTGAACGCCTGCGGCAGATCGGGATGCTGGCCTCGGGCCCTCGAGGCCTTCTGCGACTCCAAGGCTCTAAGGAACGAGATGACGAGTAAAGGAGGACATTGCATCCTAAAGGGGAAGTCTTAAAGTCTTAAAGTCTTTACATGAGGGTTTTCGGGAGTCTAGGCTTAGGTAGCCTCGTGACCTCGTGTCCTTCATGGGATCTGTTTTTTTTTTTAGCGTCGGCTTGTCGGATCAGGGAGCCGGGGCAAGGGCTCGGGGCGTGGGAAGTTTTATAGCAAAATCGAAAGGTCGGGGGAGGATCGGATCTCTCGGTTTGGGAGCATAGGGTGTTTGGCATCTGGCGTGTTTTTTTGGGTGGGAATTGGACGGTGACTCCTCTTCCGAGGCTGCTCAAGAAAAGAATGGTAAAGCGTTCATTCTACATACAGCCCTGATTGTCATGGTTCGGGTAGACCGCAGGGCACTAATGGCTTCAGGTCCTGGCCTCCATGTGGGAGCGACGCATCGCACCAAACGTGATCAGCTACAGCGCGGCCATCAGCGCTTGCGAGGCTGGAAGCAATCAGCCAGCGTTTCTTTTTGATGAAGATGAGCCGTAGTGAAAGGAGGCTAGCCGCTGGCCCAGCAGATGTTGTCCACTCTGACAAACTTCGAAGTGCGAAGACGAGGGATCCAAGAGGTTTGAGGAATGCGGAGGGGGCTGCAAGGACCCGAAGCTCCCGGGTAGCTCCCCGAATCCCCCAAGCCCCCCGAGAGCCCGGAGTGATCCAAGGACAAGGGGTCTGCATGGCCCCATGCTCTCGAGCTTTTCCAGACCATGGCCAATGTCACTGTCGCCCCTTTCGCAGCAGTTGGGACGTTTTAAGGCTGAAGAGGCCCTCCAGGGCTCCAGGTTCCCTCTTACGTCGTGTTTGGTACCTTCGACAACCAAGCAAACTGAGCTAGTGAGTTTTAAGAATTCGTCCAGCCATTGAAGTAACGTTTCTAGCCCAGGCTCCCAACGTTATCAGCTGCAATGCCACGCTCACCGCCCTCGAGAAAGCCGCCGATAATGTGCTGCAAGAAGGGCTTAGGGGCTTCGGGTTTCGGGTTGTCGGATTGCTATGCTGCTATGCAATCCCTTCTCCCCAGATGCGAGATTTGCACAAAACATGCGGCACGAGGAGTCGGGCAGGTTGCAGGCGCATACACTGAATCCCCGAAGGATCGACGCTGCAGCTTCGTAGTTTGCGGGGAGTTACAGGTGGTGCTCTTGTGGAGATGGGGTAGTGCTGGATTTACAATGAGCTGGCACCAAAACCCAAGCATCGCCACAGTGACCCGAAGCCGAAATGATACACTCCACGTGTATTTACGACAGCACTGAGACGGAGGAATGGGAGCGCGCATTGGATATCTTCCGGTCCATGAGGACGTGGCAGCTCCAGGCTCAGCAAGTGGTCTTGGCTCAGAAGTGTCGGTTTCAAAGAAAGGTACTTAGTTTGGATTTGGGATTTTGGCTCCTTCAAAACATAATTGGATGGGATTGCCGAGGCAAGCCCCTAGCCCATACACGGGAGGTTCTGAATTGGGATGGCCAGGGTCCGGTTTTGGCCCAGTTTTTGAGCTATTCTCATAACCGGTACCTTCAAGAGGAGCCAAATCAGCTGCAACCACCTCTACACGAATCCTGAACGTTCAAACTTCTATCGCTACTGCAAAAAGATCATTCAGCTTGAGACCCCCTCGCCTGTTGTCGGCTAGAAGCAACACCCCTTCCCCAAAAATAGAACACGACCGTAGGACAAATATCGCCCACGATACTGCAATCCACCTAGGTGCCACAGCTCAAGTAAGGCGCAGGTGTTGTCGTTTACTTCAGGTTCAGGGTCTGGTGGGCCCTAGCAACAGGGCTGAATGCACTGTAATATAAGGGGTTGCGATTTATTGGCAATACCACCCTGTCCATCTACCTAGCTAACCTATGACCAAACCCCATTGTCAGTATCATGGCGCAATCAACCAACTTTCCAACTCGGGCTTATACGGTAGGAGTGTCTGCGGCATTTAGCGTGGTCGTTAATTGTGCTTGCGCTGCAGTCCGGCACTTTAGACTAGAGCGCTGCTTCATGCATTATGCATGTGGTCGGAGGGCTTTTCCAAAGCGATCCAGTTTTCAAGCAGGCGCTTTCACTCAGACACAAGGGCGAACCGATACACAAAAGACTAAGATGCACCCTGTACCCCAGACTTGCTTCTTTAAGCCTCGACGCCGAGGGCCACTAGGCCTGCACCTGGCCCCTATTGGACAATGTAGGAAAGTTGCCATGAAGAGCTCGATACATGTGAGAGCCCGTGGCTGCTGGATGCAAGGCCCTGAAATCTTCCCTGACTGATCCGGATGGTTCGGATTTGGTGGGCCGGCCTCCCCATCGTCCTTTTGTGTAGCTGCATCGTTATTTTCGGTCTTGAGCGGGCCGAACCTGCCTTAACTCGGGAAGCATGGCAGCCTGCATCAACCGCCATACCGAGCTCCACAAGATCTGCAGAAGCCTGGACGACTGAGATGCCGACCTCCACAACAGTGTCTGACATGCTCCCGACGGAGGCTTTGATATCGCTGCGTGGGAAGAACTTGATTCTTGCAGGAGATTCCAACGACAGAAACTTTTTCCACATGCTGTGCTATTATGCTACGGGCAAGTCCGACCAAGTGCAGTACATTCGGAAGCTGGAGATTGCATCCGGTGAGTATGCCGGGCGCATTACTTGGGCCACGGAAGCCGCTACCATGACATGCCATGACCGCAGCAGGAATGCGAGCCTGATGTTCCTCTTTCACCAAGGAGTATACAGCCTTCCTCCCCAGCCAGACTGGTTCTTGGAGTTCGTGCAGCGCAGGCTGGGTACACACGGGATTGGAGTGCGAGGTAAGGCACGTGTGATTCCGACAACTGACTTAGCCCGCGATATATGGCCGGAAGCTATCCAGCAGAATCTACCGATGCGGCCCATGGTTCTTCTGATCCAGTCTTCCATGCTTCTTGACTGCAGAAGTGGCGCTGTCCGACCAGCACCTAATCTGACAGGACAAAACCGCCTTTGCCTTCCATCAAGTCGAATCAGGACATAAGAGTACGTAGCTCGAGCCAGAGCAGGAAGCACATGCAGAGGGTTAGAAGATAAGCAGTCCACGACAAGGGTTGCAGGTGGGACTCCTTCCCCGTCCTCGAGAAGATCATCGGCACCCGGGTGTCCCAAATGACAGACGAAGGAGAAGCAAAGCTCCTGGACTGGAACCGATAGAAGTTAGGCACACCGGGTGCTGTGTGTGCGTATATCTAATACACACTTTGCATGCACGAATCCAGACCTACATACATGCGTACATAGCTGTCTATACATGAATGCATGTGTGCATTTGTATGTGCATGTGTACATGTACATGTACATGTCAGTGAGTCTGTATCTGTATATGTATATGTATATGTATATGAATATGTATCTGTATGTGTATGTGTATGTGCATATGTATATGTGTATGCGTGTGTGTAGGTGTATGCGTATGCATATGTGTATGTGTATGTATGTGTGTGCGTGTATGTGTATTTCTCTGTATGTGCATGTGCATTTGCATGTGTTTGTGTATGTGTATGTGTATGTGTGTACGCACATACATATATGTTTGCACAGAGACGTTATCTCTCTCTCACTCTCTCTGTTTTGGTATATTATACATTTACACACACACATATATATATATACACACACACGCACACACACAATAATATGTATATTTATATATATATATACATACATACACATACGTACACAAAAGAGATTGCGAGAGAGAGAGGGAGGGAGAGAGAGAGAGAGAGAGAGAGAGAGAGAGAGAGAGAGAGAGAGAGAGAGAGAGAGAGAGGGAGGGAGGGAGGGAGGGAGAGAGAGAGAGAGAGAGAGAGAGAGAGAAAGGCAGAAAGAGAGAGAACGATAGAGACAGAGGGGGAGAGAGAGAGAGAGTGAGTGGGTGATTGCATCTTGGTTATAATGAGGAGCCTGCGCCTGAGTTTCTGTGAGGGCCAGACCTTCCCTTATTGTCAGCTGGGGTTGATCACAGATAGTCCATGACGACACGCTGTCACCGTTGTACAAAGCAAAGCACCCAGATTCGCAAAAACTGCGAAATTCCCCAGCATCCGGGGGAAGCACGAAAGCGGATACTCTACCTAACTCCTTGTTCTACTATGTGACCTCGGAAAGTGTGCTTCCCGTGCTGGTGAAAGCATGTCTCGTGAGAGTATACATCCCACCTGAACCGTCAAACCTAAAACAAACAGGGCTGTAGTTTGCAGGGGGATTATACTCGTTCCTCACCCGCCGAATCCCACGTAACAAATCATGCAGGTGGGCTTGGAGCCCGGGGGTCCTTACCGACCCCTATGCCCGGGAGAGACAGAGACAGAGAGAGAGTGCGTGTGCGTGTGCGTGTGGGTGTGGGTGTGTGTGTGTGTGTGTGTGCGCGCCTGTGTGTGTGTGTGCGTCCGACGATATCTGTATCATATTGAAGCAGAGAAATCTAGGTCTCGGTCGTTGATACGTAGTCCTCGTGGGTCTAGATGCTCGCAAAATCCGAACTCGAACCCGAATTCTGCTATGCACTGAGGATCAAAAGAGCCATCTTCTGCGAAGAGAACCTGACTGAGTGGGGTTGGCTGGGCAGGGCCGAGCAGATCCTCTCTGCATTCGAAGGCGGCCTCTTGGAATGAAGGTTTAACAGCAACATTCACCAAGCAGAAACACCTGAGAATGTTGGCGGGAGGAGTGGTATGGTGGTTACGATACCAGCGGGATAGCAATAGCAAAATCGAGACAGAAGTGCTGCATGCCAGAAGAAGGCTTGTATACCGTGCTTTCTGACCCAAGCCTGAGCCCTTTAAGCCCTAAAGGCCAGCCTCGAAGCGCTGACCCCACACGCAAAGTCCCAAACCCTGGAGCGGAAACTGAACACCTGGCCGCTAGAGCACATCTAAGGTCTTCGGGAGAGGGGGTGGCAAGTTTCGTCAAAGCTCTGGCGGACGAACCCGAACTGCCCCGCGCTGCCAAAACAGGGATCTGTGGTCGCAAATCCGCTGAGCAGCTCTGCTGCAGGGGTTTAGAGCTCATAGGGTTTAGGGGTTTGTTGAAACTTTTCGGGAGTTTTGTGAATTCAACATGTGGGCTGAACCTGCCTAAGTTTGTGCTAGCCCCCCAACGAGGGGAACGCTGTAGACCTGAGTAACAAGGCGAGTTATATGCAGATGCTGTCAAGCATGCCATACTGGCTGGTGGAGCATGGTCAAACGTCTGCCTCGTAGACTGGAGGGGCCATCTGCGCATTGATGACGCCAGTCAGTGCGATCATCACCACTACACCAAAGCAGGCTATATGGAATATCTTGATGCTTTAGGCGATTGTCTGCTGTTGGCGTAATGGTGCTCACGGGAGAGAAAGCATCGCTGATGCCGATGTTCCTGCTCCGCGGAAGCGAAATTCTCAACACCCCTTGTGGAAGTGGCTGTGATGGGCATGACTTTTCTCTCTATCGTAGCTCCTGATCTGGGTTTGGATATTGAAATATGCCTCTCTATGAGGTGCAGGGTCCACATGCCCGGCCAGCCGGCTAGGCTGCAAAGGCCAGATCGAGCTTACAGCGGATGACAGGCATTCGCCGGCAGCCCCTGAATCATTCTTGTCATTCTGTGTCTCGCATGCACTTCTGAGCACGATATGTTGCATTTACACTGGGCGGAGGAATCGGTGCAGGACATACTGGCAAGGCTCGCACGCCGCGTTCGAAGCAGTAGAAAAGTGGTTCCGGCATGGGTGCTCTCGTCCCAAGTCGCATTTTTTCGCATGGACGTTATTATGGGGATGGAATGGCGGCAGGCCAAGGCCCCAAGACCCCTCAATGCCTGAACGCTACAGTTCGCGATGCTGGCGGCACGAATCTTTCAACACCTAAATGGTGTTTCAGCAGGAAGAGGATTCACAACAATATTCGCCTCCAAACTACGGGCTCTTTGGATCTCCCCGTATCGGTCCAAGACTCTTCCAGCCAGGGGGTTTTGAAGCCAAATCTCGGAGTTGCTGTTTAGGGTTTAAAGTAAACCCCTTTGTCATTTGTGTTGAGGGCATGAGGGCAAGGCGTTTGAACATGACTTGGGTTGTGTTTACTGAAGTTTTGTGTGATGGTTACAGTCTAGCCTCGAAAGCCCAGAGCCTTAGACACTATCAGAAATCATAGGTTCTGGCTTGTGGCTTGAACGCTCGCCCAAAACCCTATGTAAGCCATGCTCTCAAGTTGTAGAGGCGGACATCGCTAGCTACACCTCCATCATGGCTGCCTGTTCAAGGGCCAAACAGTGGCAGCCTCCCGTCTGCACAAGGCTTTGCATGTTTAGAGGGTCGGCTCTTTTAGCGCTCGATTTCACATGTCGCTCTTGGGGCTGTTGAGCTTTTTGTGAGTTGGGAGTTCTCCACCCGTTTCTTTTCCTATCACCCCGGGTGCCTTTGGAGGCTGGGTCAGGTCACTTGCTGAATCTAGTCTTGGCCTGCATCAGAAGAATCCAACAGATACGCCAATCCGCAACAAACAGTACCTGCCACGAGCTGCTGAAAGACCAGCCGGCTCAAGAATACCAAGACTCGAGAACGCCAACATGCTCAGAAGATCCCTTCGTCCAAACTGCTCCAGGCTCTCCTTGGAGCTGTTCTACACTCTCGAGCACCTGCAAGCAGCACCGGACACCTGCTGCCATTGGGGGAGTCTGGACGTAGCATTCATCAGCGAAGGCTTCTGAGCCATGTTCATGCAAAGTCGACTACGAGTTTCTCAGAGTTTGCAATGGGCCTGCCGTGTTGCGGCCGACGAACCTCAACAACAATCGGACCTATCAAAAGAGATAACAACCGTGCTAGCAAATACGAAGGCGTGGCCAGTGTGTTCTTCACAGTGGTATCGGCAGCAGGAACATACTATTGGTTGCTGCCGTTGTTGCAGCCATGGCATTGCCTCGCACAGGCAGGCGCAGCAACGAAGACTGCGATCGCAGCACCAGCAACATTACAAGCCATCGCTGCCAGCAGTTCCTATCATCATTGCTGCGTTCATGGTCGTCATCACCATCACCACCATATCCCTCCTTTTCATCATTTCCTCACCAGAGCCGTCGCTACCATATGCAGTCTTACCCGGCATCTTCGCACCGATGATGTTAGACGGCACATGGTCAGAAACGCACTCCTTGGACAACATCGGCCCGTAGGGATTCTAGCAAATCCCGAAGCGTGTCAGGATTTGGTTTGTTATGGCGGTGCGCTGACGGCCTGTGACTCGGCTGGTACTCGAAATCTACGAAACTCTCAACCCCAAGGGAGACCTGCAGTGAGCGAGGGCCGAGACACCTAAGAGACCTAACACCTCTCCAACTGCATCAGGATGTGTCAGGGTGTACTAGGGCCAATGGCCACCCACCCGGTCCAACCTCAGAAGAAGCGCACAGAGTAAAGTTTGAGTAGGGCTGAAAGTGACGGGGACGAGAAGGCAGGAGGGCGGACCCGAGTTTGAGATCTTTTGGGCATGAGTCAGACAAAGCCCAGAAGACCGGCCGATAATATCAATCCTCACAGTCGAAGCTCTTCAACACATTGCAACACCGGCAAATTTTGCGTCACACCGCTTTCTGTGAGACCCGGAACCTTCCGCAAGACACGGGCCCTAAGCTGGCGAAACTCTCAAGCAAAGAGGCGAGGGCGGACACTGGCAGCAGGCAGAGGACCCTGCTTGAGCCTAACCTTTCACAGGCGAAGTCACGAGTCCCGTCAGGCCTTGTTTGCGGTTGTAAATTTCCATTGGTGATGTTGGGGTTTCGCTTGTTTGCAGTGTAGCTTGCTACAATGACCCGAAACCGAGACCTTACATAACCCTAGGGAGAAGAGGTTTGGTTTTGGCGAAGTCATATGTATTTTCTCCGCATTTCCGATAGCAAAGGCTGCGAAGCTTGAACACCCGAGTCGTAAGCATAAGGGACCAAAACAAAAACCTAAGCTGCGACAGTGCGGACATATCTGCCGAGAGTCTGGGGAGTCCATTATCATCGCAGCATCCAGCGTGCACGGTGAAGTTTGCGTGCTCAGATCCTATCACAAAGCCCTATGCCCATTGTCTTTCCAGGGTTTAGGACGTAGGGTGAAGCCTCTGAGCAGGGCCTCGGTCCCAAGCCGAGGCAAGCCAAAACCGTTCAGATCCAAACCAGAGTCCCCAAAGCCCCGAATAGGGTTTAGGGTTTAGGGTTTAAATAGTTCCTGGCATATGCGTAGTCCAGGTGTAAAAGGGTTTAAATAGTAGAACCATGATTCTGTGATTCCCATCAGGAGCTGTTGCGAAGAATGGTCTCGAAGTCCATCCAACCTGACCAGGATTGACCACTCGTGTCTGGAGGGGGTCTAGGATCTAGGAGCTTCCCAGAAGGCCTTAAAACACTTTGCTTGTAGGGGTTGTAGAGTACCTCAAGCAGACTGCGTGTCGCGGCCTTCATTGTTCTGAGCGTTTTACGGTCCAGCTTTGAAGTCGTCGTACAAAGTCCCTGGTGTTCCGAGGCGAGGTTTCACTTGTCCTCTGAGTAAGTGTTCTCCTTGAGCAGGCCCCTAACTTACCTTTGGCTAGTAGGGAATGGTAATACTAATAATAATAGTAGTTATACTTGTACCCCAGTCCCTAGTAACCAAAATAAGTAGAATAAGGCCCCCCCCCCCAGGGCTGCTTCTTGGCGGCGGCTCGAGCCTTTAGGGCCTCCTCCTCGTGGCAGCGAGCTCTTGAAGTCTTTCGCACCTGGGCATCATGCGCCTTCCGGGCTTTTGTGGTGTAAAGTGTAACGGATTCAGGGCCATCTTGGTAGTTTTGAGCTTTGGAAAGCTCCGAGGTTTGCGGAGGATGAGGCCCGTCTCGATTAAGTTTGCCTTGGAAACTCGTGGTGTCCTTAACGCGGTGTTAAGGGGTTTTACCGCATCTGCTTCGGTGATTTCGGTCTGGGTTTGTTCTTTTGAGGTTTTTATAGGGCCTTGTTACGGCAGGCAGGACAAACTCAGGATTGGGGCTGCCTGTCCAACTTGGGAGTTTAGGCATTCACCCTGAAACATTGGGCGGTGAAGTTGCTAACCTGATGGTCCGGTTCGGATTTCGCGAGCCTTACCTCACCAGGCAGTTCGTATTCTCAGGAACGAGCAACTGCTCCAGTTCTTGCAGAAGCAGGAAAATTCTAAACCTAAGCCTCGTCCGCATGTCATATGCCTGCTCTCTGAGGCACCGCCGGCTATTTGCATGAGCGCCTGCTGCAGAAAAAGCCGAGTATATATGGTAGTCATGGAGCACGGTTTGGGGGCTGGGGCCTACCTTTTCAGGATCTGGTTCGTGTTTTCCTAAAATGGTCAGGGTTGACCGTGCGTGTTTTTTCGAAGGTTGGAGCAGCTTTGGCGGCTTTGCGAAGCCGTAGCCCTGAGCCCGAAAACCGTTTGGTATAGATATGGTATAGACGCACAACATGATTGATGACAGCCCGTTCGAGGTTACCTGATGACAAGGACTTGTGCAAAGGCGACAATCCAACGGTACACACCCCGCCAGCCTTCCGCGATGCAGAGATTCTTTCCGGTGTTTGCAGGCCCAAGACGCCTTGAGATGTAGACAGGAGCCAGCGCAGACTGCCACTCTCGCCTGCCGAGTCACGTGTCCTACTTGTAGAAGCAGGACAGTCAGTTGGGAGCTCACGGGGTTTCGAGTTGAGTTGAAAGGAATTGCGAGTCTCTCCAGACAGGAGAGCCCTTCTTCAGTGGCTCTACAAGAAAAAGGATCGGCCCTTCCTTTCGACATGGGAATCTCACCTTGAACTGGGGAAGAACTTAGGCATCTACTTGTCTTGGCGCATTCTCCCCGTAGAGTGCGGTTTGCAACTTTCCTGATCCTAAAGAGGGCCAGGCTAGTGACAGGACGGTTTTACCACTGTTGAAGGTAGCATCATCATGATAGTTATCGCTTCTGCATGAAGCCTGGTGGAGTTTTGGTGCTGTTTCCAGCCTGGCCTTTGACCTAAATATCCTGAAAATACCACGCTGAAATCCTCCAAAGACTGTCGCTTCGAAGGCTCGGACAACAAGTATTTGCACTCGTGTCAACATGACAAAGGTGCACCAAGAAACAACTGATATGTAGAATCTGTGTGTGTATATATATATATATGTACATATGTACATGTGTGTATACGCATCATTATATACATGCATACATACATGCATACTTACATTCATACATACATACAAGAGAGCTTATGGGTTGTTAGTGGATCAGAGAATGTTACCATGCACGGTGCTTTCCTTCCTGTCTGCCGACTGCACCTAAAGCCCCAATCCGGGAGTGCCCGTAGGCGCCGGGCACT